GAAGGTAGGGTCAGGACTGCCCCCCCCCCCCCCCCCCCCAAGTCCACCACTGCGTTACTGTCACAAATGCAAAACGTCCAGCTGTGGGAACGTTTTATTCACTTTGAAAAACCAATCATCACTGGTTCTGTTTTTTATTTATTCCTGCAAGTATAAAGTTGTAAAAATTATGAAAATTTCTTGTATAGAGCAGTTAATTGTTTTTTGAGCGACTTTAGTTTGCTTGTCATTGAATATTAAAAAACGGGGAAAATACACCCTACCGACAGTAAAATAAGCATTAAATTAACCATTTTTCCACTCGTTATCCAAATATTATATCAGAAATGTCAATCTATTTTCGGTCAGCAACAGAAAACAGTGTAAAGTGTTTGTTAAAAGTAAAATGTATCACGTTTGTTAAACGTAACTGCGAAAAAAAAAAAAAATATATATATATATAGCGAAACTAATACATTTAGTGGTCTAAAGCAGCCACATTAATACAATAATATTACAAATAAAAAGAGATGAAGACTAACAAAGAGAATAAAAATACGGGTAACTGCTTGTGACTTTGCTTTTGAATAATTCAATTCATAATGATAAGGCATGACAAGTTTTTTAACTAAAATTCAGAGGTCAGAAAACTGGATCAAGGATACTGCAGTTAGGGGGTTTGGGGTGAGGTTTTCCTCAATATACTTCCTCGAACTTATTATTTAACGCAATAAAAGAAGATATTATATAACACAATAAAAGAAGCTAATAGGCCTGCATTTCGGACCGAATTTTCGTATCAAAATTTAACAAGTTCTGTGGTTGATAATCGAGTTCATATGACTCAATTAAGCTTTTTCGAAGAAAAAATTAAATGTTCAGTAAACCTACTATTGTGAAAATATCGAGCTTACACACGACGCTAACAAAAGCAAAAAATCCTGCTTGAAGACATTTACAAAAAAAATAAATAATAATAATAAATAGAATAATAACAAAAAAAAATGAAAACAAAACAAAACAAACACACAAAAATGTAATCAGTGATGTGGAATATGCACTGAATGCAGTATATCGAATGAATGAACCTGGACAATGTGGGACATTTACAAGTAGGCCTAATCCCCTAATGTTAAGGGTATTGAAAATGTTATCGAACCGATCAAAAGCTACAGGCCCCTATATCCCAGAATATTTAATGCCAGTTTGCTTTTTATACATTACGAAAGGGGTGCAAATTGAGACCCATGAAAACGCTGCCTTTTTTTAGGTCTGTTTTCTGTAGAAGACAAGGCCTGAGCATCCCACATTTCTCTGATTTTCTTTAACACTAACTGTTGACCCACCGTTATGTGACCTACAGGGGTACGGTGTGACAGTTTTTCTAGAAATCCATAACCTGGTTTAGGAATAACAGAAACATTGTCATTGACTTCAATAGCACTCTTTGGAGGGTTTGTAAGCATCCATAATATAATACTTAAGATTCCTGAAAAGTGTCTGAAAAGGGAAAACCCGATTGTAATTTTAGGATTGTTTTCGAGACTGCGTATGCCCTGCTTGGTTTCTTGAGTTCCCTACCCCCCCCCCCCTTCCCCCCGTCCCCCGCGGTCATATCTAAGGTTGCACTTGCGCAGTGGGATTATAATTATCAAGGACAGACACGTTCACCGTGGCGTTACACTTTCAGCTCGTACTTCAAGCAGCGGACGTCGCACATCAACCATGGTGAACCTTGGAGACGTATTCCCCAACTTTGACGCAAAAACCACTCATGGAGACTTCAAATTCCATGACTGGATTGGTGACTCGTAAGTTTGGAGCAGTTTTTGAGGGTTGTCATGCTTTTTTTTAATGCTTAGAAGGCCAGTAAGTTAGTCCGTAGACAAAGAGGGGTGTCAGAAATGAAGAAAACTAGGTCAGCGTTGTTTGTAAACGGTTATCTAACTTTAAGTCTGAGTGTTGCTTGTCTCGCACACGTGGCCTAAAACGAGTTGCGTCTGCCACAAATATCGAGCTAAAAGGCGCTACATTGTCACTTGTGTTAATGTACATGTATATGTACACTTCAGTATAATTGTCGTCCCAAAGTTTTTAAGTACCCCGGCCGCCCCCTCCGAGCGCATAACCTTTCTCAGCAATGCCTTCGCAGGAGCCGTAAACTAATCCCCAGGCTGTGGTCACTGGTGTTGTTCCTGACAGGACAGGTGTAGTTCGAACTCCAAGCCGAAAGTTCGGGCATGAGTGAATTCTCAGGATGAGGAATTTAGATAGCTCTCGCGTGGGACGCGCGCATTAAGTCCATCTGGTGCCTTCAGGTCGGCAGTTTTCCTTTGAAGTAGTGTCTAATATTTTAGCGTTGGCACTGTTGCAAATTCAGCAAATAGCACATATTTTACTTCTTTGATTTTGAGTCCTGGCTACCTGTGCACATTACTGTGCACATGGTGACAAAGGAGTAGTAGGGGCACAAGTTTAATTTAAATGTTTAACTCCAAAGGAATTAATAATAATAAAACATCAAAACCCACACTGATCCACTCAATATATAGTGAATTAAGAGCTACCCAATTAAGTGTGTTTAGTCTGAATTTGTACCCAGGGAACACTGGACAAGGGTCAGTAAGCTTTCTCACCAAAGTGGAGGGAAAGGAATTCTAGGTCAGAGCAAGGCATCAGATAACAGTTATCTAATTCATTGGTCAGAGGCATTCCATAATGCTTTGAATAACAAATGGACAGATGAAGGGTAGTAGTCTTTCAATCCACAATACATCTTCTCAGATGTCTTTTATGTAGGCTAGCAGGGGCGGAACCAGAGTTATTTTCTGACAGTCTTCCAAATTATACTTGTTGATCCAGCCTCAGTTTTTGACCATCTTCTGACAGAAAACATTAGATGCCCGACAATGATAACTTGAAATTCTGACCGTCTTCTGGAAGACCCAGAAGACGGCCTAAATCCGCCCCTGGCTAGTACATGTGTAGTATATCAGTGACACTTATGAAAAGATGAAGAGAGACAGGCCTGCAGCATAGCCAGAGGGTTCAGAACAAAAGGTGGAGGGGAGGTCCTTTTCTGAAAAAGAGGACCTTCATTTTACCACCCTTTGTTGAGTGAACTTAAGAAGTGGCATAGAACCTGGTCAAAATGTGATTCAGAACAGACATTTCAGGGGGATCAAGGATTATTTGAAGGGGGGTCCTTAGATGCAAAGCAGACCCTTCTCTCACCCCCTTGGTGAGGGGTTTCGGGCCCGCTGAAGGGCCCCCAAAATTTTTGTAATTTTAGAGGGGGAACAGTGTCATTTGGTACAGTTTAGAACTATGATTGAGCTAGACAAAATTCTAATTTCAAGAGGGATCGTTGCTGTGATTTTTTGCAGAAATTGAACAGAGGTCAGGACCCCCTGACACACCCCTAAATCTGCCACTGTGTTTTATTGGTTGATTAGGCTGTTCTCTTACACCCCAGAACTTCTTTGCCTATATACAGGCCTGTAGAATAAACTTTCACATGGCACAAGCTTTAAAGGCAAAAGTCTCAAACACATAAAAATACTTTTCTCGGGGCATTTTCAACATTAGCTCATCTCCATGCCTTTGAATAACATTTAGTCCAAAAAATTGATAAGTATAGGATAAAGCCAGAGCAGGGTAGATAAATGAGTATTATAGTAATACATATAAAGAAATGCCTGAATCTCGCACTGAACTGCACTGAATCTTGAAAAAGGGAAAATTATATTTAAAAGCTGTATTTTTGGTTTTGTTTACTATACCACAGACAATATATCATGAGTATGTCTATCCATGCATTTCATGCATCTTTTTAATTTGTTTTTTTCTCAGGTGGGCAATCTTGTTCTCCCATCCAGCCGACTACACCCCTGTTTGCACCACTGAGTTAGGGCGTGTCACCAAGCTGGTCCCAGAATTCAACAAGCGTGGTGTCAAGTTGATTGCACTGTCCTGTGACAATGTGGAGAGCCACAAAGGCTGGATTGAGGTCAGTTGGACCCCCATCCAAATATAAAATAAATAGATAAATATAATAAAGACAGATACAGCTGTATGAATGAATTGTCTCCTACTTGACAGTGTAAAAATATCACCAAACACTGAAATCAATTTAAAATTGGGTGCAATAAATGAGCAATATTTTGTAGCATTTTCAACATTTATGTTATTTTACATTTTCCTTGGTCATATCAAAATGTGGTTAGCTAAACTTTGTTAGATGAAGTCAAGAGAATTACATGTCTTAACATCCTAAAGCCTTGACTGTTATTTGCAGGATATTAAGAGCTACATGAAGGACCAAGGGGATTTCCCTTATCCCATTATCTCTGACTCTGACCGCTCCCTGGCTGTATCCCTGGGGATGGTTGACCCTGCTGAGAAGGATGCCGCTGGTTTGCCTCTAACATGCAGAGCTGTAAGTAAAGCATACAAGTATGTGTACTCTTGGACATTGTAATAAGTCATTTTGTCCATGGTGGACTGCAGTTATATGTAACAGTGTGGCCAAGGGTGTTTTCCTTTATAGCAACAGATTTGTGCAGACAGTATTGGTAGGGAGGGGGGTCTTCTAGTAGTTTTGTCCTTTTCAACTATGAATTCGCAAGTGTGATTGGAGGATTATTTATCTTGTTTGGAAATAAGCATGAAAGTGCATCTATTTTTAAAAATCTGTTTCATTGATGTGATATATATGTATATGTGAAAGAGCATCCATCAATATTGTAACTATTACCCCGTTCACACTACGCTCAGTTATCCTGATAAATTGCGAATTAGGTCACAATTCGAATAAATGCAGTAGTGTGAACGCAAGAGGATTTTTGTAATGCGCATTTTCAAAATCCTGCAAACGAGGTGGATTTCTAAGCGCGATCTGGATAACTTACCGGAATCGACACCTGTACAGATCTAACTGCGCATGTGTGCAGATAAGTGCGGGTATCTATGAACGCTTGTTTATTACTTGAGCGATTGTACCAAACGTATTTGGAGGTCACCACTCACTACAACATGAGGAAACAAACTTATTTTGCCATCTTATACTTCTCAAGAATGCTGGAATGTCTTTAGAGTTGCATTTGTCGTCACAAATTTTTGTTGGTATTTTAAGATTTCATGTGCGGCGCATGCGCGAGTGTTCAAAACAGGAAGTTAAACCTGAAATTTTCAACGTGTAATTCGGTTTCGCTTAGCGTGTGTGAACGCAATACCGAATCGAATTCCTCACGAAAAATTCGGATTATAGAAATGCGCAT